GTGTGGTTATCTCAACCTATTTTTGGGGCTGTATGAGTGATGTTTGGGGTAGACGCACGGTTTTATTATGGTCCATGTTTGTTTCAAACTTCCTGCAATTCGTAATAATGTTTGTAACCAATATTTGGTTATACAATATTATAAATCTTGTAATGGGAATCAGGTAACTTACATAATATATGAAATAGATTAAACAAACTTCTAAGTTACTCAGTCCAATTTCTTCCTTACAGTTTAGGTGGTATATTAGGTGCCATGTATCCGTATCTTAGTGAGTTCAATACGGCTAGATATCGTGCTATAGTTATAAATTATTCTACTATGTTTGTTAGTGTAACAGTTATGTTTGTGCCAGGTAAATTTGGCGAACAATGACAACATACATGGATAAATAATAATATAATCTATTTATTCTGAACACAGCCATTTCCTGGTTGGTGCTGTCCTACAATTGGTCCTTTGAAATATCTGATTCATTTACCTTCAAACCCTGGCGTTTGATTATATTGTTAAGTATGCTGCCTGGTTTTATTGGTGCTTTAATATTGTTACCCTTTCCTGAAAGTCCAAAACTTTTATTGGCCCATGACAAACAAGATGAAGCTTTAAAAGCTCTCTATTGGATTTCGAAATTTAATACTGGCAAAAGTTTAGAGGTTATGCTAAAGACTACGAAAATTTATTTAAAAACAGAAGAGTTAGCAGATGCTGATTTGCTAACAATGGGTTCGGGTTTCTCTGTTATCACGAAAATATGGAAAGCTACAGTACCACTGTTCCATAAACCTCATGGCACGAATGTTATCTTAGCTGTTATAGCTTTCTGGGCATAATGTTTTGTTCCAGTGGTATGCAGGTATGGTTTCCCGAAATAGTTAATCGTTCAGTTGGTGGTTCAGTATGGGGTAATAGCACAACATTGTGTGAAATTTTAGATGAATCCTATAGACGTGATCGTTTGAATGTAACAAATGAAGAGGGTGATATAAGTCTAGTAAGTTTTAAATTACAATTATAGAAAGCTTTATATAAATAATGAACTTTTAAAAGGTTTGTGATGATACCATTTCCCCTAAAACCTATATCAATAACATGATCATGGGTTTAGCCTTTCTGGTGGGATTTTCCGTACAGGGTATGCTATTAAGACCTTTGGGTAGAAAAAATGTTTTAATTGGCGGCATACTGATAGGAGCTTTATGTGGCATATTATTTAATATCATCACTAACACAACGGGTATTTTGATATTACTTTGTTTGTGTATCTTGTTACCGGGCCTGGGGGTTTCGGTTATGTGTGGCATCATAGTGGATTTAGTGCCCACACATTTTAGGTAAGTTTTAAGTGAAATTGCAACTAAAAGTCGTATTTCTAAAATTTTAACTTTATTACAGAGGAAAAGCCGTCAGTTTGGGTTTTACCTTGGGCCGCATCGGCACTATAGTGGCCACAAATTTATTTGCCGCTATGTTACAGCCATATTGTGCGGGCATTTTTGGCATAATTACTTGTGTACTTTTTGGTGAGTGTTCTTTTCAGTACAGAGACCACTTAATATTTGAAAAATATACTAAATTTGTCCTTCTTTACAGTTGTGCTGGCATCGTTTATTATTTGCCGATTTAGTATAAAAACAATTTTTTACAAATTAAAATTAAGTAGTTTGTAGTTGTTAAATATAAGATAAACTAATAAATAAGTTATAAATTACTAAAATTTTTGAAATTATCCATAAATGAGGAAAAAATGTCTAGTTTTTCAAAATTGTTCCATAATTTTCAAATTATTCAAAAATTTTATTCGAAAATTTTTTTTCGAAAATTAAATTTTTTCTTTAAACAATTACTATTTGTAATTGAAGTAGGACTTAACTAGAACTGAACTAGAATTGAACTAGAATTGAACTAGAACTGAACTAGAACTGAACTAGAACTGAACTAGAACTGAACTAGAACTGAACTAGAACTGAACTAGAACTGAACTAGAACTGAACTAGAACTGAACTAGAACTGAACTAGAACTGAACTAGAACTGAACTAGAACTGAACTAGAACTGAACTAGAACTGAACTAGAACTGAACTAGAACTGAACTAGAACTGAACTAGAACTGAACTAGAACTGAACTAGAACTGAACTAGAACTGAACTAGAACTGAACTAGAACTGAACTAGAACTGAACTAGAACTGAACTAGAACTGAACTAGAACTGAACTAGAACTGAACTAGAACTGAACTAGAACTGAACTAGAACTGAACTAGAACTGAACTAGAACTGAACTAGAACTGAACTAGAACTGAACTAGAACTGAACTAGAACTGAACTAGAACTGAAGTAGAACTGAACTAGAACTGAACTAGAACTGAACTAGAACTGAACTAGAACTGAACTAGAATTGAACTAGAACTGAACTAGAACTGAACTAGAACTGAACTAGAACTGAACTAGAACTGAACTAGAACTAAAATAGAACTGAACTAGAACTGAACTAGAACTGAACTAGAACTGAACTAGGACTGAAATAGGACTGAACTAGAACTGAACTAAAACTGAACTAGAACCGAACTAGAACTGAACTAGAACTGAACTAGAACTAAACTAGAACTGAACTAGAACTGAACTAGAACTGAACTAGAACTGAACTAGAACTGAACTAGAACTGAACTAGAACTGAACTAGAACTGAACTAGAACTGAACTAGAACTGAACTAGAACTGAACTAGAACTGAACTAGAACTGAACTAGAACTGAACTAGAACTGAACTAGAACTGAACTAGAACTGAACTAGAACTGAACTAGAACTGAACTAGAACTGAACTAGAACTGAACTAGAACTGAACTAGAACTGAACTAGGACTGAACTAGGACTGAACTAGAACGGAACTAGAACTGAACTAGAACTGAACTAGAACTGAACTAGAACTGAACTAGAACCGAACTAGAACTGAACTAGAACTGAACTAGAACTGAACTAGAACTGAACTAGAACTGAACTAGAACTGAACTAGAACTGAACTAGAACTGAATTAGAACTGAACTAGAACTGAACTAGAACTGAACTGGAAATGAACTAGAACTGAACTAGAACTGAACTAGAACTGAACTAGAACTGAACTAGAACTGAACTAGAACTGAACTAGAACTGAACTAGAACTGAACTAGAACTGAACTAGAACTGAACTAGAACTGAACTAGAACTGAACTAGAACTGAACTAGAACTGAACTAGAACTGAACTAGAACTGAACTAGAACTGAACTAGAACTGAACTAGAACTGAACTAGAACTGAACTAGAACTGAACTAGAACTGAACTAGAACTGAACTAGAACTGAACTAGAACTGAACTAGAACTGAACTAGAACTGAACTAGAACTGAACTAGAACTGAACTAGAACTAAAATAGAACTGAACTAGAACTGAACTAGAACTGAACTAGGACTGAACTAGAACTGAACTAAAACTGAACTAGAACCGAACTAGAACTGAACTAGAACTGAACTAGAACTAAACTAGAACTGAACTAGAACTGAACTAGAACTGAACTAGAACTGAACTAGAACTGAACTAGAACTGAACTAGAACTGAACTAGAACAGAACTAGAACTGAACTAGAACTGAACTAGAACTGAACTAGAACTGAACTAGAACTGAACTAGAACTGAACTAGAACTGAACTAGAACTGAACTAGAACTGAACTAGAACTGAACTAGAACTGAACTAGAACTGAACTAGAACTGAACTAGAACTGAACTAGAACTGAACTAGAACTGAACTACAACTGAACTATAACTGAACTAGAACTGAACTAGAACTGAACTAGAACTGAACTAGAACTGAACTAGAACTAAAATAGAACTGAACTAGAACTGAACTAGAACTGAACTAGGACTGAAATAGGACTGAACTAGAACTGAACTAAAACTGAACTAGAACCGAACTAGAACTGAACTAGAACTGAACTAGAACTAAACTAGAACTGAACTAGAACTGAACTAGAACTGAACTAGAACTGAACTAGAACTGAACTAGAACTGAACTAGAACTGAACTAGAACTGAACTAGAACTGAACTAGAACTGAACTAGAACTGAACTAGAACTGAACTAGAACTGAACTAGAACTGAACTAGAACTGAACTAGAACTGAACTAGAACTGAACTAGAACTGAACTAGAACTGAACTAGGACTGAACTAGGACTGAACTAGAACGGAACTAGAACTGAACTAGAACTGAACTAGAACTGAACTAGAACTGAACTAGAACCGAACTAGAACTGAACTAGAACTGAACTAGACTGAACTAGAACTGAACTAGAACTGAACTAGAACTGAACTAGAACTGAACTAGAACTGAACTAGAACTGAATTAGAACTGAATTAGAACTGAATTAGAACTGAACTAGAACTGAACTAGAACTGAACTGGAAATGAACTAGAACTGAACTAGAACTGAACTAGAACTGAACTAGAACTGAACTAGAACTGAACTAGAACTGAACTAGAACTAGAACTGAACTAGAACTGAACTAGAACTGAACTAGAACTGAACTAGAACTGAACTAGAACTGAACTAGAACTGAACTAGAACTGAACTAGAACTGAACTAGAACTGAACTAGAACTGAACTAGAACTGAACTAGAACTGAACTAGAACTGAACTAGAACTGAACTAGAACTGAACTAGAACTGAACTAGAACTGAACTAGAACTGAACTAGAACTGAACTAGAACTGAACTAGAACTGAACTAGAACTGAACTAGAACTGAACTAGGACTGAACTAGAACGGAACTAGAACTGAACTAGAACTGAACTAGAACTGAACTAGAACTGAACTAGAACCGAACTAGAACTGAACTAGAACTGAACTAGAACTGAACTAGAACTGAACTAGAACTGAACTAGAACTGAACTAGAACTGAACTAGAACTGAACTAGAACTGAACTAGAACTGAACTAGAACTGAACTAGAACTGAACTAGAACTGAACTAGAACTGAACTAGAACTGAACTAGAACTGAACTAGAACTGAACTAGAACTGAACTAGAACTGAAGTAGAACTGAACTAGAACTGAACTAGAACTGAACTAGAACTGAACTAGAACTGAACTAGAACTGAACTAGAACTGAACTAGAACTGAACTAGAACTGAACTAGAACTGAACTAGAACTGAACTAGAACTGAACTAGAACTGAACTAGAACTGAACTAGAACTGAACTAACTAGAACTGAACCTTTTTAATAAAACAACTAGATTATAATTTTCAGTATGTTTTCAAATATATTAAGTTTCCAGACAAATATCATGTTTATCCACGCATAACACGGCGACGATTGCGGCGGGCTTTACGTTGCTTACGATTGCGGCGACGGATTTTACGATTTCTGCGTGCTTTACGTTTCTTCTGCTCAGGCGTAGCATCTGGATCAGGTGATGAAGTGGTTGGCGGTGATGTATCGGTGGGTGGTTCAAGAGTTTCCGTGGTTGGTGAAGTACCTGTGGTCGAGGTAGTGGGTAATCCAGTAGCTGTGGTAGTAGGAATTGGAGGAGTTGGTGGCAATGTTGGAGTTGGTATAATATCAGTGGGAATAAGTGTTGTCGTTGTAGTAGGGATAGGTTCTGGTGGTGGACAGAATTGAGTTTTGCCCATTGCACACAATTTTTCCTTAAAACCGCCGCCGCTTCGGGTACTATTGCCGGATGCCTTTGAGGCATTTACGCCGAATGTTGAACCCAAAAGGGCCAAAGAAATAAGATATAATGAAAATTTCATTTTAGCTACTTCAATTGATTTGTAAAGAACAATTTGAAGTGATGCAATTTCGACATTTTCAAAACTATTTATAGTAAAATTAAAGATGTTTTAAAATGCTGTAAAATAGTAGAGACCAATTGTACAAATAAGGACAATGTGTAAGTAAATCAACAGAAGTTCTTAGAGTGAAAAACAGATATTTCACGAAATAGTGTAGTACTTAAGTTAGTTAAATATCTGTTCTTTTGTTTGAAGATGATGTTATTGGTTTAAGTGTGACCTACTTAAGGTAATGTTACAATATTGAAATTTTCATTCAGAAATATTTTTTGAAAATTAATGTTTCTAATTTTGAAAATGTTATAACATTATAAAATTAAAGTAAATGTTATAACATTATAAAATTAAAGTAAATGTTATAACATTATAAAATTAAAGTAAAGTTAAATCCATTAAACAAATCGGAGAACTGTATAAGTGATTCCTAATGTGAACTTATATTATGAGATGTGATTAAACGACTATGCAACTTTAGCTAACAACTTTTGAAAACTCAAAACTTATTAGAAATCATTAACCTATTTTAATTATTTTAAATCTAGTATTATCAACAAGTAAAAAAAGTTTAAGAAAACCTTCTATAAAAGCAAAATTTTTATTCTTTTACATATGTAGTTGTTCGTAAATGTCGAGTTTTTCGAACATGTCCGATAAAATTTAGATTATTACAAAAATTTTTAATTCACAAATTGAATTTAAACTCTATTTTTCCATTAGAACTAAACTAGAACAGAACAAGAACGATCTAGAAACAGAACTAGAACTGATCTAGAACTGAACTAGAACTGAAACTGGAACTGAACTAGAACTAAACTAGAACTGAACTAGAATGAATTAGAACTGAACTAGAAACTGAACTAGAACTGAACTAGAACTGAACTAGACTGAACTAGAACTGAACTAAATGAACTAGAACTGAACTAGAACTGAACTAGAACTGAACTAGAACTGAACTAGAACTGAACTAGAACTGAACTAGAACTGAACTAGAACTGAATAGAACTGAACTAGAACCTGAACTAGAACTGAACTAGACCGACTAGAACTGAATTAGACGAACTAGAACCGAACTAGAACTGAATTAGAACTGAACTAGAATGAACTAGAACTGAAACTACCACTGAACTAGAACTGAACTAGAAACTGAACTAGAACTGAACTAGAACGAACTAGAACTGAACTAGAACTGAACTAGAACTGAACTGAACTAGAACTGAACTAGAACTGAACTAGAACTGAACTAGAACTGAACTAGAACTGAACTAGAACTGAACTAGAACTGAACTAGAACTGAACTAGAACTGAACTAGAACCTGAACTAGAACTGAACTAGAACTAGAATAGAACTAGAACGAACTAAACTAGAACTAGAACTACTGAACAGAAACTAGAACAGAACTAGAACAGAACTAGAACAGAACCTAGAACAGAACTAGAACAGAACTAGAACAGAACTAGAACAGAACTAGAACAGAACTAGAACAGAACTAGAACTGAACTAGAACAGAATAGAACAGAACTAGAACGAACTAGAACAGAACTAGAACAGAACTAGAACAGAACAGAACAGAACTAGAACAGAACTAGAACAGAACTAGAACAGAACTAGACAGAAACTAGAACAGAACTAGAACAGAACTAGAACAGAACTAGAACAGAACTAGAACAGAACTAGAACAGAACTAACAGAACTAGAACAGAACTAGAACAGAACTAGAACAGAACTAGAACAGAACTAGAACAGAACTAGAACAGAACTAGAACAGAACTAGAACGAACTAGAACAGAACTAGAACAGAACTAGAACAGAACTAGAACAGAACTAGAACAGAACTAGAACAGAACTAGAACAGAACAGAACTAGAACTAGAACAGAACTAGAACAGAACTAGAACAGTACTAGAACAGAACTAGAACAGAACTAGAACAGAACTAGAACAGAACTAGAACAGAACTAGAACAGAACTAGAACAGAACTAGAACAGAACTAGAACAGAACTAGAACAGAACTAGAACAGAACTAGAACAGAAACTAGAACAGAACTAGAACAGAACTAGAACAGAACTAGAACAGAACTAGAACAGAACTAGAACAGAACTAGAACAGAACTAGAACAGAACTAGAACAGAACTAGAACAGAACTAGAACAGAACTAGAACAGAACTAGAACAGAACTAGAACAGAACTAGAACAGAACTAGAACAGAACTAGAACAGAACTAGAACAGAACTAGAGAACTAGAACAACTAGAACAGAACTGGAACAGAACAGAATAGAATTTTTACAAATTTTGAAAACTTTTGAATTGTTAAAATATTTACTATTAGTTTTAAGTTTTTCTAAAAATCTCCTTAAATTGATAATAGTTTCTCTCTTTAAATAACGAATGTTTTGAAAATTTTTCTATAAATTTCGGGAATTCTGAATAATCTTTTTTTTTAATTTAACCATTTTTAACATGTTCTGTTACTTTAATGTAATCAAATTTCTTGTTTATTTGAAATTTTTATGAATCTGTTTCATTCAAGCTTAACAATGAAATTAAATTTTATTTTTCGACTTTAACAATTTATATGTTAGTCAAAGAAGAGGTAAAAATTCCCATCTACATTTGATTTAGAAATTAAATTATCTTGAAATTTGGGGGAAAATGAAATCCCCCAAAAATATTTTTTTTATAAAAAGACAAAAAAAAAAAAATTATTTGATAAAAGTAATAAATTTTTTGTTAAACAACAAAATACTAATTGGTTCGAATAACACACACATTTTGCGACTTAAATTACTGGACTATGCACCAGTTTAAGTCATTCAACTGTTAAAGATAATGACAATAATACATTATTATTTCTATATTATAATAACTAAAACGATAAAAATTAAAATTTTGTGGTAGTCATGTTAAAGAGCGTAAAAGTTAGACTAATAGATATGCAAACATCTTTTTAAACCAGTTTAATATTGTATACAACACCCAAAAATGTTAAACAAAACAATGCCCCCAGTCAGTATGTTTCCAAATAAACAAACAAAAAAACGTCAATAACAACAACTGTGCTAACAACAACTAACACACTACAATAATACCGCCACACAGAGTTGTTAACAATAGCGCTTGTTTAAGCCATGATTGCAAGCAAACACTCACTCACACTCACTGTACGTCATAAACCGGCTGCTGCAAGCGACAGTTTTAAAGTGGTCACACAACATGTGTTTGATCGATCAAGTATTTTGTTTTCTTTATTAATTATTCTAAAGCTGAGTAATAGTTTAATTTAAATCAGACTCTAAGATTAAAAAAGTATAAATATAAGTAGACATTACAATGGAATTTATTTATTATAAACAAATAAATATTTAACAATTACTACATCGCGGCTAAAAAGAACACAGCGCGCAAAAGTTATGCAGTTTTCTGATGATCAACAATCACGATCCGCTAGTAGCAGAGAGGGCTTACAGCAAGCTGTTGTTGTTGCTGGTGGTGGTGATGAAGTTGTTGAGGGTGGATCGGGAGATTTGCAGCAAAAACTTGAGGCAGGTGCTGTTAGTAATATATGGGATTATGAGGAGATTTTAAACCTTTTAGGTGAGTCTTTTGTTTAAACATTTTATACTATATTTACTATTTAACAAAAACAAATTTTACGATAGGTTTTGGTAAAACGCAATGGATTTTGTTATTAATCAGTGGCTTGTTGACCATGACCTCTATGGCGGCTCAGTTATCGGTGGGCATTATTGCTATATCTTCCCAGTGTGAATTCGATATGTCTCAGAGTGAAAAAGGTGTTATGATGGCAGCATGTGTGGACAGGTAAGAAAAGTGCTTTAAGAGTTTATGTAAATTATTTTAAATTTTATTACTTAAAAAGGAAGTATAAATTAAATTTTGTTCGACTGCCAACTAGCTTAGCAATAAAAATTTAAACGTTTAATAAGATTAACAACTTAAGCAAACTATATTTATTAAACCTAAACTGAAATGAACTAAAATAGAACTAGAACATACCTATAACAGAGCCAACACATAACTTGAATAGAACCAGGACACAACTAAAACAGAACTAGAACAGAACAGAACAGAACAGAACAGAACAGAACAGAACTAGAACAGAAACTAGAACAGAACTAGAACAGACTAGAACAGAACTAGAGCAGAACTAGAACAGAACTAGAACAATAGACAACTAGAACAGAACTAGAACAGAACTAGACAGAACTAGAACAGAACTAGAACAGAACTAGAACCGAACTAGAACAGAACTAGAAACAGAACTAGAACAGAACTAGAACAGAACTAGAACAGAAACTAGAACAGAACTAGAACAGAACTAGAACAGAACTAGAACAGAACTAGAACAGAACTAGAACAGAACTAGAACAGAACTAGAACAGAACTAGAACAGAACTAGAACAGAACTAGAACAGAACTAGAACAGAACTAGAACAGAACTAGAACAGAACTAGAACAGAACTAGAACAGAACTAGAACAGAAATAGAACAGAACCGAACAGAACTAGAACAGAACTAGAACAGAACTAGAAACAGAACTAGAACAGAACTAGAACAGAACTAGAACAGAACTAGAACAGAACTAGAACAGAACTAGAACAGAACTAGAACAGAACTAGAACAGAAGTAGAACAGAAGTAGAACAGAACTAGAACAGAACTAGAACATAACTAGAACATAACTAGAACAGAACTAGAACTGAACTAGAACTGAACTAGAACTGAACTAGAACAGAACTAGAACAGAACTAGAACTAGAACAGAACTAGAACAGAACTAGAACAGAACTAGAACAGAACTAGAACAGAACTAGAACAGAACTAGAACAGAACTAGAACAGAACTAGAACAGAACTAGAAACAGAACTAGAACAGAACTAGAACAGAACTAGAACAGAACTAGAACAGAACTAGAACAGAACTAGAACAGAACTAGAACA